AAAAAAAATAAAAAAAAAGAGGAAGAGGAAAAAAAACATATATATATGTGCATAAGCAAGAAAGTAGAAGTGGAATATTATTGATGATAACATGCTTGATTGGGTCACTGTGCAGTCTATTCTAGATGGGAAATTACATTTAGTACGCTGTGATGATGCTCAGGGAATGAATGTTAGGGAAAAAAAAAAAAACGAAAACAAAAAACAAACAAAAAAAAACGGTTAAACTATTCGTACCATTTAAAAAAAAAAATTGGATATTTGATGGCTGCAGTGAGCGGTATGGGCCCAGTTGGGTTCTACTTTATAGTATGCTCTTTTTACCCAATGGGGTTTAGGCCTAAAGTCAGACTTGAGTTCATGTAGAGGCATGTGTCAGCTGTGATAACTATTGGAGAGACTTAGACTAATTAAGATCACTGACAGATCATTTGGGGAGGGGTGAGGCACGGAGGGCAATCGGGGATGACAGGGACAATGTGGGAGGAGGATGGGTCATAACAGAGGGAGGGGGGTGGGGAATCTAGGATGGTAAAACAAAAGGCAAGGTATGCAGGACACAAGAATTGGGAAATTATTTGCTGAGAACATATATGTTGACGTGCTTGATTGAGCCAATGCACAGTATATCTTGGATGGAAAATTCATTTGTGTGTTGCGATGGGAAAAAAAATTATAATAAAAAATAAACTATTAAAAAAAAAAGAGGATAGAGAAAGATAGCAAGTGAACAATAGAGAAGCAGGATGTTAGTGAGAAACAGATACGGTTTATTATCTGTTGATGATGACGTGTATAGTATTCTCAACTGGACTTGCCTGGGAAGTATTTCATGATGGGTGAAGTCTTTTAACAAACAAAATGAGAAATAGTGATTGACTGTTTCAAAAAATTATAATAATAATAACAATTATTGGGAAATGCATGGAAAAGACATTGAATGATAAAGCGGGGAGACTGATGTCTCTGTATTGACTGACATGCATGGCATTCCCTTTTGAAAAAGCAATGGAAGTCAACGTAAAGTTATATGTAATCCAATGTAATATAAAGAAGATTATGATGATAATTAAAAAAAAATACATAGGAGATGTTAAAATTGTTTTACTTCAAACTATATTGTGACTAAATGTTTGGTTGCATTTTTTCTCATACAATTAATTGTATGTAACTGCATGTAGTTATATGTACTCTTGTACATTCACAAATGTGAAATATTATGAAATGAAAGTAATTGCCCATAAAATAAAAAAAAAAAAACACATTTCTCAAAAAAGAAATAAGCACGTGATATAATGGTAGAATTAGATGGGCAAGGAGACTTTGATAGATATCCAGGAAGGGCAGCAAAATCAGGCAACAATAGCTTTCAGACTGAGCCTGATCTGGCGTCCAAGAAAGGAGAATGAAAAGGAAGAAGGAACCGAAAGGAAGATCCTGAGATGTAACTGAGTGTAACTTTTAGAAAATCGTGGCCAGTAAGAGAACCAGAGAAATGACTCACAATTAGAGGAATCTCATCCCAGGCAGAGATAAACCAGCTCTAGTGGCCACATTGCTTAAGCCTTGTCTGGGAACAGCTGATACAGAACAAGAACTAAACCTGGCTGCTAAAGTGGGTCTCAGGACAGCATCTGAAGGTTTCTCAAGTAACTATACTTCTTACTACAGATATTTCCTTGAAGGCAAATTGGAGTTATTCATCCCTACGGCTATTCTCATTTTTCAGATGGTTGTGGATATTCTTCTTTGATATTTTGCCCAAGCTCAAAAGATTTTAGGGTTCTTTAAAGTTTAGTTGTGAGGACTAGCAGATGGTGTCACTGGATTCCCACATGACTGAAAGTGATTTGAATCTC